TCTGGGTAACTAGAAACATAAATGCTATTTACATTGAGCTCTTAAGTATGTAGAGCTTAGATACTAGAGCTGAAATTTACAAAAAAATAACAAAAATCCTATTTGAAAGGAATTTTAAAGAGGAGGCCCCTCCACAGAGCTGAGAAAGGGAAGCCATTCAGAGCTGTTGTAATTGAGAAAAAGCAAAATACAGTACCTTCTATACCTTGGGTAAACAAATACAAATAGATTTACTACTTCATTTTCTTTCAATTATTTTCCATAGTCCAGGCCAGTAGTTCTATGCTTTCAACAAGATCATCCACTCCTCTAGGTCTGATATTCTAAACCAGATTTTTTTAATGTGTTAAAAAATATCCAGATGGGTTTAAACATGAAATTGTTTTCTAAAAATGAAAATGATTTAATTTCAGGAAGCTACATCTAAAAAAATGATATGAGACAAGCCAAAAAACTTTGATGACCAACTTGCCCCAACAAAGCCCTTATCACTGCAGGCCTGGATGTTCTCACTCCCCACGCTGGAATTCAGTCAGTCTCTTCCCTAGTGCGACAAAAGCCAACCATGAACGTCTGGCTTTTCTAAGGCATACTTCTATTCACTTAACTTGCTTTAGAATCTTACTAATTTGTCTTTAAAACTTACAACTTCAAACAGGTAATTATGGCATGCAAATGAAAAAAAAATTAACAATTACCATTTTTTTTTAAGTTTACTACTAATAAGCATTGGGCTAAATTCTAAAACAGTGACAAATAGTTATGCTCTTAATTGAAGGCACTATGCCATACACTTTACATGCATATTCTTTTATAGATAAATTGAGGCCACCGAGGCTACTGTGAACAAACTGCCAGTGCTCCTGTCTAAGGCCAATATCTCCCACATGTACCTAGATGTCCTCAATTTTTGCCTATTTAAAAACATTCTAAAAAAGAGAGAGCTTAATATGAAGCTTTCATGGGCAGAGTCTGCCTGACTCTCAAGCCCAAGTTTTTCATTTCTGTGCTATACTTCCACTTACCAATTTGGAGATACTGAAGGAATTATTTGTTGTATGGAAGAGTGTGTATTTTGTATAATGCCAAGATATCACATATATCTAGACCTCCATTATTGAGTTCTGTCCATGTTAATGCAACTGCCATATTACATGGGAAAGTATAACAATGGAGAGCCTCCAAAATTACTGAACTCCATTTGTTTTATAATTTTCAGATATTTTCAAAATTACGCTAATTAACTGAACTTGACTCTCTCTCTCAAAAGACAAGAACAAACTAGCTGCAAATCCCAAATGAACTTTTTGGCTAGCACCTAAAGTATACTAGAGAGAATACACCAAAGGACATGGGCCTTTATACCTGGAATGGGCATACAGTAGCATCTGCTTTTGCAAGAGCCATTTGGGACAGAAGCAGAAAGGCATATAAGTACTCCTCTCTCCTTCTGACCAAGACTCAGTTGACAATTATAATAACTTTTAAAACTTTTAAGACTAGACTAAAAGAACAAGAAACAGTGGGGCAAATGGTAAGTCACTTGGGTTTTTTGTTTGTTTGTTTAAGATTTTATTTATTTATCTTTAGACAGAGGGGAAGGGAGAGAGAGAGAGAGGGAGAGGGAGAGAGAGAGAGAGAGAGAGAAACATCAATGTGTGGTTGCCTCTCATGTGCCCCCTACTGGGGACCTGTCCCACAACCCAGGGAAATGCCCTGAATTGGAATTGAACCAGCAACCCTTTGGTTCACAGGCCTGTGCTCAATCCACTGAGCCACACCAGCCAAGGCAAAGTCACTTGTTTTATTCACATCAGTTTCTCCTTACTACAAACTTTTTAAAGGACTAATTAAACCTATTCAAACATCTTATGTTTCGTAGTTCTTACCTTCCTGCTTCTCTACTACAGATACTGGGTTGGCCAAAAAGTCCGTGTAGTTTTTTCCATAAAATAAGAGACACGTTTTTCATTTTCACCAATAACTTTATTGATTTGGATATTTTGAGTATGTCAGCTATCTTGCACTATTTGCTTCTAGTGGGTACAGACCAGGGGTACTGCTAAACATCTTTCAATACATAAGACAGCCCCACAGCAAAAAAAATTTGGCAAAATGTCAATAGTACCAAGAAATTTTGCAAACCACTTCTGACATGTTCAATCAGTCACAGCACCTTCTCCATACACTGAACAAATCTTTTTTGCCTTTCATTTGCATCTTTACGTTTCTTGAAATAACACATTGTATGTGGGAAACGTATTTATACGTTTTACGTTGACTGGTGGTAGAGCGCGCAATAAAAATTACCCACAAACAATGTGATAATAAAGCATAATGCCAAAAATGTTGCAAATTCTCTTCCATCTTCAATATTAAAGTGGCTTTACAAAAATTCACCAATTTTGACAAGTTTTTTTAAATGCATGCTGATATGACAGCTGTCACTATACAATTTAACAAAATTGTTTTTGAATGAAGCACTACAAGAGCCATTGTATGGAAAAAAAAAACTAATGAACTTCTTGACTAGCCCATACTCTGTCTTCTACTGCACACTCCTTACAAAGATTTGCCCAGCTCTATGCAGACATGAACTATGGAGCTTTGGTTATTTGGGGAGATGACTAAGCACAAAAATAACTTTACAATGAGGCAATTCAGACCCAGAAATGATAGTTCCTGTTGAAATCACACAGGATTTGTTAGTGGCAAAGCCTTGATTAGTATCCATGTTTCCTGGCTTCCTTCCAGAACAAAACTTTTTCTACTCCTCCAATATTAAAGATTAAAAAAGTATTATTTGTTCTGAGAAACTTCTGGCTTGCTTAACTAAAAGTCTTCAAAATAAAGGATTGTGTCTAATTGAATCTTATGATCTCAGAACTTAAGTGCCCAACACATAGTAGGCATTAATGTGTATTTACTGAATGACTGATTACTTAAATGTGAGTTACTTTATTAAAAAGTGTTTATTTCTGGTCCTTATTAATTAAATATTTTAAGGCAGTTAGAGTAGACCTGACTTTAGATACTACTAAAATGACCAGGAGATTCCTCTAGTTGAAAACTAAAATGATCCAATAATTCCTCCAGTTTCAAATGAAAATCATTTTCACAAGATTTTCTTTCTTCCTTCTCCTCCTCCTTAGCAAACTCCATTCACTGAAGGCACACATTCCGGGAAGAAGCAACCTGCCTCAGGCTTCAATTCAATTCACTTGTATTGATCTTTAGCAAAGACAAATCTCAGAGAACTTCCAAACAGAGGGAACCAAAAAACAAGCAAACAAACACAAAGCTGGATATAGCAGGAAAGTGACCAAGTACAAATATTTGCTGAACGTGATGCTAACAGGCCACGTTCAAGCCTTCCAGTTATGTACATCTACTTGGTGCATCCCTTCACTGAGAGTCCTGGCAGTGCCCTTACCCAGTTGCTAGGAAACTCAGCACACTTGCTAACCTAGAACTGAGATCCACTGCTGGAACTAAATTTAAAGAAAGAAATGTGACTCTTAATAAAATGTATCTAAAATTAACCCAATATGTTTAGAAGAATTCTAAAACTAACACACCCTAGAAGAAAACCATAAGAAATGAAGCTCTATCATATATATTAAATGATCCTTCTAATAAGTATAAGAAAAAGAAAAGTAGGTATCATGACCTTCATTTTACAGATAAGGCATCTGAGCTGTAAGGAGATACGACGATTTGTTCACGTTTACAAAGCTAATTTACATAGTCAAAACTGACTCATAGTTTTGACTTGTAACACCAACCTCTTTATGACAAATCACAATGAGCTTTCATAAACCAGACAAAGGGCTTTACAAAATTCTCAGAGGACAACTTAATCACTAGAACATTTTTACAAAATAAAATCCTAAAATGAAAGTAACAAAGAATTACTGTGTATTTCATACATTTAAAAATGTATATATAAAGTATACTTAATAAATAAACATGAGTACTGTCGTGTCCTCAATTACATCTGTTTTTGTACAAAAAAAGTTTCAAAGCCACTATTTTATCATAGTCCTAATTCCTTAATGCTTCCCAAATTTGGCCTCATAGCAAAATCATGGTGGGTGTTGGGTACAGGTGTATAAAGTAAAGGTTCTTGGACCCCAAGGTGGAGATTCTAATTCAAATAAATTCAGAATCTGCATTTTAAAAAGCATCATTGGTCAGTGATTTTCAACCAGTGTGCCACAAGAATTTTTAAAACATAAAGTACCTGACTATTTAGTCAGGGGCACTGACCTCTTTTTCTTAGATTGTCAAATAAAAAAATGTAAAAATTATACCTATTTCTCTTGGTCACATTGGCAAATATATATATATATATATGTATATTTTTGGTGTGCCACAGAATTTTAATAATTGTGTGCCACAAAATGAAAAAGGTTGGAAATTGTTGTTCTAGATGATTCCTAAATTTGAAGTACTGCACAAAGAGAATTCATACAGCATACAAGAAAATATAAGAAATTATAATTGTGGTGCAAAGATAATTCCCCAACCTCCCCTAGCCCTGAAGCCAGAACAGAACAAATGGATGAGAGATCTCTCCCAACCCTGTCCCCAAACTGAGCTGTTGCCCTTGCCCCAACCTGTCAGAAAAGTTGGCTTCTCCCCTAGGACCATGTATGGGGCAGATACAGATGCCAAGAGTTTCCATTTCAACATTCTCGCAAGTATAGGGCTGTGATGGGTATTTAAGGGGCAGCTTTCCCCCAATGCCATGCAAATACTGAGACAGAGAAAAGGATCTGGGGTGGGTGGGGCGAGAGGGTGAGAGGGGGGAATGACTTAGCAAGAAAAGTCAACTGGCCCACCAGCTTCCCTGGCAAAGACAGGAATCCACAGGGGGAGCAGAAACACTCATGAATGGCATTCCTCTATATAATATTAAGAACAGTTCCTAGGATGTATTTCTAAGCAATAGATTATAAGTATAAGCAAAACTACAATGGTAATCATCATCTACTTACAAGCTTCCTCTTCTTGGAAGGCTCAACTCCTTCTGAAAACAAAATACAAACACGTTAGGAAAGAGGACCCATTTGAGTCTTACAGGTCTACCCTAAGTGTCTTAGGAGATTTATGGCATTATCTTAATAATGGCAAAGGCTAGATATTTCTAAATGATAACCTTTTATTTTGTCTCTTAACTTTTAGTGAAGTATCACCTCACTTCCTTCCCAAAAGGAGTGTGCACAGAACATTTGTGACACTTTCCCCACTAGAGGGAACCATCTCGCCAGTGCAGATTCCAGGCACTCCTCAGACCAGCCAGTAACTACTGATCAGTTGTTAAAGAATCCTGCCATTAGCACCAGGGATATGAAAGGAATGAGATTTATTTTTAATTAGAAAATATTTCAGATGATTGTGTATATGGATATGGGTATGGATATGGATATATATATATATATATATATATATATATATGCATATATATATGCAGAAAATACTGTAACAAAGAGATGACTACACACACCACTGGCACGAGAAAGAACCCTTACAGAAACAGCTGGGGCCCCTGTGACTGGCTTTCCAATCTACCAGTCCTACCTCCCACTGGTCCCCACTTAATAGCAACTATTCTTAATTTTCATTTCTTTTTTCCATATGTCATCATATTTTATTATATATACATTCATTAATTGTAAGTACAGTTTTAAAATTATATTCATAGTCTCAGAGTGTATATATTCATCTGCTGTCATCAATCAACATTATAACTGGGGAGATTCACCTATATGGATATACACTTGACACTTGAACAAACCAAGGATTGAGGGCACCAACCCCCACATGGTCAAAAACCCATGTATAACTTCTGACTCCTCCAGAAATGTATGGTTGTCCCTCCATACCCAGAGGGAATTAGTTGCAGGAGTACCTGCGAGTACCAAAATCCATGGATGCTAAAGTCCCCAGGAAGACAGAGGGACAACTGTGAATTTTGGGGGGAGTCAGACCAAAACCCTGGATGTCTGGACTCCTCTACTTTTCACATACTGCACACCCCATCCATCAGGAGTTTAAATAGCTCTAACTTTAAAATACATCCAGAATACAACTATTTTCCACTATCTCCACAGACATAAGCTTACACTCTTTTAAACAGAAACCTTGGATTTGGTCATGTTTTAGAATCGGAATTTGGTGGGGGGATACCACAGTAAGAGTATATACATGTAATACAAAGAGGGGACCCAGAAAACAGAATTTGTTTATAAAAAATTGTGTATTTATTCCTACATATTTAAACTTCAGTCACTTGAAAATACCCTCCATTTGATGCAGTACACCTATCAAGACATTTTTTTCCACCACTCAAAACAGTTTTGGAACTCATCAATTTTGATGTCTTTTGGTGCTTCTGCCATGTTTTGTTTTACATGTTCAACACCAGCAAAATGTTTCCCTTTGAAGACTTTTTTCATCAGGAGAAATAAAAAAAGTCACTAGTGGAGAGATTGGGTGAACAGGGAGGGTGAGGCACAGGGGTCATGCTGTTTTGGTCAAAAACTGTTGAACACTCAGCTCAGTGTGGGCAGGTGCTCTCATAAATCACCCATCATTAAATGCGCAAACCACTGAGTCTTCGAAAAAATTTCACTGAGACCAAACGCAGCCTCTCCCAACAACACCAGCTGGTACACTGACACAGATGGGTTTCTAGAACACTCACCTAGCTGAGTAAGCTTGTACTACAAGGGGCCCACCCTCCAGAAGATATTTCCAGGTTTTCTGGGATCCCCCCTTGTATATATAACACCCCAACAAAGACTAGGGCAACAACAAAATACATTAAACACATTAAAACTTCTGTAGCAAAATGTATGATAGCCACAGCAAATATGATAAAAACTCTAAAGAATCTTAGTTCAATTTTGTTACCAAAAGAGTTCAAGTTAGGTCAAGCTTTTCTGTTAAATGAATTATGAAAAATCCTGTTAGTTTTTGGTACTGCAATCTAAGCCAGCATGGTCCCTCCCTCAACCACCTCCTAACGAGTATCCCATTTGTGCTTCTTCCCTTTTCCCTAAGTAGTCTTTTGTCATGTAACAGAGTGATCCTTTTAAAGGTGAGTTAGATCACAGCAGTCCTGCTCAAAACCCTCAAATGGATGCCCATTTCAATAAGTTTAATAAATGTGTACACTCAGGTAATCCAAACCCCTATTAAAATATAAAACATGCCCATCAATCCAGAAAGTTCCATCATGTTCTTTCATGGTAAATCCCCAACAAACCACTATTTCTTCATGCCAGTTTTTCAACATAGACTAATTGTGCCTGCTCTGGAACTTCATAGGAATGTTTTTCTATAAGGCTTCCATCATTCCACGTTGTTGCATATGATGGTACAATATCCAATCATATGAATACCACAGTTCATTTATCCTTTCTCCTACTAATGAACATTTGGGTTATTTACAGTTTTGAGCTATTAACATTCCTATAAAATCTTTGAATAAACCTATGATTCATTTGTCTTAGGTAAATACCTAAGAGTGGAATTTCTGGGTCATGAGATAGGTATACATTCAGTTTTGTAAGAAACTACCAGATTTTTTTCTAAAGTGATTACACCATGGTACACTTCCATTAAGGTGTGAGAGGTTCAATTGCTCCACATTCCAGCTAATATGTTACACTCACTAGTAATATAAAAATTGCTTTAAATTCATCAAGAATCCCAATTATCCTACATTCATAACAATATATGATATCAGTATTTTAAATTTTAGACATTCTTGTATATACTGGCATCTCATTGTGGTTTAAGTGTCCATTATCCTGATGACAGAATGTTGAGCTTCTTCTCATGTGCATGCTAGCCATCAGGACATACTCTTTTACAGAGTATCTTAAAAGACTTTGCCCTTTTTAAAACTGGGATATTGCTCTGTCTGGTATAGCTCAGCGGATTGAGTGTGGGCTGCAAACCAAGGGGTCACTGGTTTGATTCCCAGTCAAGGCACACACATACCTGGGTTGTGGGCCAGGTCCCCAGTGAGGGCCATGTGAGAGGCAACCACGCATTGATGTTTCTCTCCCTCTCTTTCTCCCTCCCTTCCCCTCTCTAAAAAATAAATAAAATCTTTTTAAAAAATGGGCTATTTATATTTTTATTATTGAGTTGTAAGAGTTTGTCATATATTCTAGATATCTTTTGACAGATATGCTTAATAAATATTTTCTCCCAGTCTCTGGCTTGCCATTTAGTAACATCTATTGATGAGCAAAAGTTTCTAATTTTGATGAAGGTTAATCTGTCAATATTTTTTAATGGTTAATAATTTCACCATCAATGTCTTTATCTATGAAACCTTTGCTCATGCCAAGGACACAAAAATATTTTCCATTATTTTATTTCTAGAAATTTTATTTTTTCAGCCTTTACGTTTAGGCCTATAACCCACTTGAATTAATTTTGAGGCAATTTTGAGATGGAGTTATGGTTCTTTTTCTCACATAAATAACAACTTACTCCAACACTGTTCACTGAAAACACTATCTTTTCCTCAACAGGTGGCTTCTGCACCTTTGCTGAAAATCAAATTATAATAGAATAGGCTATTCTGGGCTACTTACTGCACTATATTGACCTATTTTTCCATTCTATGCCAGAACCACACTTTCTTGATTCTGTAACTTTATATTAAGCACAGAAGTTCAATCATGTAGTCCTTTAATTTTATTCTTCTTTTCCAAAATTGTTTTTGATATTCTAAAGTCTTCACATTTCCATATAAATGTTAGATTCAGATTATTAATTTTTACCAAAAATGCCTGCAAGGATTGCAGACCAATATGGAAAGAAATGATATCTTAAAATTTAGTTTTCTAATCTATAACCCTACTATTGCTCCACTTACTTAGATCTATTTTTTATGCTCCAAATAATATTTTATAGTTTTCAGCAAAAAGATTGTATACTTCTTTTGGTAAGTTTATCCTAAGTAGATATTTTGTTATTATAATAAATTTTATTTCATTTTTCAATTGCTTGCTTTAGTATAAAATGCAATCCACTTTTATATATTGACTGTGTATCCAACTTTGTTAAATGCAATACAACTTGTAATGTTTTACAGGTTCCTTAGAATTTTTCTATATAAATAATCATGGACTCTGTGAATAAAGTTTTACTTCTTTCTACTTTCTCAGACTGTGACAGACATCCTTACCTGGTTCTCATCTTATCATAGAGAGAAAGAGTTCAATATTTTACCAATGAATCTGATGTTAGCAGTAGGTATTCCATAGATAATTTTTATAAAATTGATAGAGTTCCCTTCTATTTCTAATTTGTTTATGGCTTTTATCATAAATGGATATTGATTTTGTCAAGTATTTTATCTGTATATACTGAAATGATCATATGGTTTTTCTCCTCTATTCTGTTTAATGTGGTGAATTACAGTGATTCATTTTCTAATACACGAATCTTGCATTTCTGAGTTAAACCCAACTTTCTCAAATATGCTGCTAGGTTTGTTTTGCTAATACTTTACTAATGATTTCTGCACCTATGTGCATAAGGGGTAATAATCTCTGCTTTTACTTTAGCTGCATTTGTCAGATTTAGGTGTCACAATTATACTGGCCCCTAAAACTACCTGGGAAGTGTTTCCTCCTCTATTTTCTGAAAGAGTTTGTATAAGATTGGAGTTATTTATTCCTTAAACATTACACATTTTTTTAAGATTTTATTCATTTATTTTTAGAGAGGGAAGGGAGGGAGATAGACAGAGAGAAACATCAATGTGCAGTTGCTGGGGGTCATGGCCTGCAACCCAGGCATGTACCCTGACTGGGAATCAAACCTGCAACACTTTGGTTTGCAGCCCACGCTCAATCCACTGAGCTACATTACACGTTTTTAATAAAATCATATAGCTCCATAGGCTTTTATTTTTAATTCTGGCTTCTATTTAGTAAGTTAGACTGGCCTATGTATTTTCTCCTTTCAAATTGTCCTTATCAATTTTAGCATCATGATTAT